TCATCAGGCCCTCTTTCACCTGCCATAACTTCATCACCCTCTCTTTCACCAGCCATAACTTCATCAGCCCCTCTTTCACCAGCCATAACTTCATCAGGCCCTCTTTCACCTGCCATAACTTCATCACCCCCTCTTTCACCAGCCATAACTTCATCTGCCCCTCTTTCACCAGCCATAACTTCATCTGCCCCTCTTTCACCAGCCATAACTTCATCTGCCCATCTTTCACCAGCCATAACTTCATCTGCCCCTCTTTCACCAGCCATAACTTCATCAGCCCCTCTTTCACCAGTCATAATTTCATCAGCCCCTCTTTCACCAGCCATAATTTCATCAGCCCATCTTTTACCAGCCATAACTTTATCTGCCCCTCTTTCACCAGCCATAACTTCATCAGCCCCTCTTTCACCAGTCATAACTTCATCAGCCCATCTTACACCAGTCATAACTTCATCTGCCCCTCTTTCACCAGCCATAACTTCATCAGCCCCTCTTTAACCAGCCATAACTTCATTAGCCCATCTTTCACCAACCATAACTTCTTCTGCCCCTCTTTCACCAGCCATAACTTCATCGGCCCATCTTTCACCAGCAATAACTTCATCAGCCCGTCTTTCATCTGCCCCTCTTTCACCAGCCATAACTTCATCGGCCTATCTTTCACCAGCCATAACATCATCAGCCCCTCTTTTACCACACATAACTTCATCTGCCCCTCTTTCACCAGTCATAACTTCATCTGCCTCTCTTTCACCAGGCATAACTTCATCCGCCTCTCTTTCACCAGCCATAACATCATCAGCCCCTCTTTCACCAGCCATAACATCATCAGCCCCTCTTTTACCAGACATAACTTCATCTGCCCCTCTTTCACCAGCCATAACTCAACCATAATTTCATCAACCCTCTTTCACCAATCATAACTTCATCAGCCTCTCTTTCACCAATCATAACTTCATCAGCCTCTCTTTCACCAACCATAACTTCTTCTGTCCCTCTTTCACCAGCCATAACTTTATCTGCCCCTCTTTCACCAGCCATAACTTCATCAGCCCCTCTTTTACCAGGCATAATTTCATCAGCACCTCTTACACCAGCCATAATTTCATCAGCCCGTCTTTCACCAGTCATAACTTCATCAGCACCTCTTTTACCAGATATAACATCATCAGCTTCTTTTTCTTTTCTAACAGCCGTTATTTCACCAGTAACATCATCAGACCTTTTTCCATCCATAACCGTATCAGTTCTTACAAAAGAAGTACTTGTTTTACCACTCTTCTTATCATCAGAACGGGAAGTATAAACCGTATTTCTACATTTGGAAAATGCTCTAACGTCATCATTATCAGAAGAATCGCTAAGATCCCTATAGTCCCTTTTTCTTGGTTGGTAGTCTGGGTCCTTGTTGGAATCATCAGAACTTTCGCCACTGGAAACAATGTCTTGGTTTACTCATTTGGTCATTTGGTCCGTCAGCTCCGAAGACCTTGAGAGTATGGTTTCTTGCCATCTCCACCAGATGTCTACCTCGGGATAAAAACTTCGTTGGCTCCATACTGTTTAGAGACTTAAAGAAAACAAAAGATAGAATGTTCAGAATAATGAATTTAATAATAGTTTTATATTCAGGCGTATTCTTTGAGAACATGAAATTGGAAATTAATAACATGCAAAAAGTTGTATCTTGGCTGATTACGAGAGTGTCGCTCTTTCTTTCTTTCGGTTAAATTATTTATTACAACAAATAATAATGTCTATTACTAACGTAGGGACTTTGTAAATGAGTTTTGAAAGAAGACAAGGGCGGGAAATATAATAAATAGCGATAGAACAACTAGGCCTAGTTTCGAACGACTTGCTGTTGAATTTTAACGCTTAAAAACTTGGAGAACATATGAAGAGATAAAGACCTTCAAATCATGTTTTAGACATGTTTTTAAGATCCTATAATCATAACACTTGACTATGAATATTGATAGTGTATGTCAAAAAGTTGTTTACCTGTTTTGAGGAAAAATACAATTGACTGTGGACATGTTTTAGTGCTTCTCTTGGATATACGACTTTTTGCTATGCCAATTTTTCATGCAATCCAAATTAGACTTTTTGTCTCGTGACTAAATAAACACTTCTATTTAGTCTAGAGGCTCCTAACTTAGATAGAAATACGCATATTGGAATCGACATGCCTGTTGAACGCTAAAAGGTATTCCGGCAAAATCACAAGATACGACCTTTTGACTGCCCACCGACGATATGTTGCCTGGCAAGTTACTTTGTGAATTTAAATAGGCTTCTAATTGGTAATGATATGAATTTATGGTATTAACTGATTTTATAAGTTTGATGTTTTTAAGCTGAGACAGCTTCATATGTTTTACTTTGAATCTTTTGTAGATGCCTGAATTAACAATGAAAGATATATTTAACCAATGTCAGAAAGGACTACAACATCACAACAAGATGTTGAAAGTGATGAGAACTATGTATTCTATGGTATGTTTTTTTTATTAATACAGTTGGTTCGAATTAACCTTCACAGACAATTCTGAAACCCTGATATTATTTATGTACAATTTCTTGTCAAACTGGTCTATGTTTTGGCAACTCAATATATAATTGCAGAGTAATTGATTTTTTCAGCGTTTGGGTTATTATCATTTGTAGGCTTAAAATCTTATTTGTAATTAAAAATATGACTTTGATTGAACCCAAGTCTGTGATTGACAGGAAACATTACCTAATACTAAATATGAGCGTTTTTCTCTTTTAATTTAGATGGAATTTGATAGTTTTTGGAAGGAATTTCTCCATCTAATGAAGTTTTCTATGGTGGTGTATAAACGAGAGGCAGCCGTTGAGAGGACTATAGAGTTTATATGTAAATTTGTATCAGCACCTGATATACCTAAACCTTCAAGTCAAGGGAATAATGAAACAGTAGTTGATGAAGATGACATAGAAGATAATCCATTATTGATTAAAACATTTGAATTTTTATTGGATGTAAGTATTTGAGACTAAATGAGAACATTCGCATACTGAAATGTTCTGAATTGAATTTTGAGCTTCGTTTTCATTGAATATTTTTTCAAACTATTAATGTAGAATTGTAATAAATGACCAAAAAGTAGTCATCACAAAATGTGATTTGCGCAAATTTTGAAAAATTGTCCCTTTTTTTTCGTCATAGGTTATTAGCCATTAGTTGAAATATGATTAATGTAAACAAATCAATATCAAGATAGTCTTTTCATTTTTCCACCCTTGATTAGAGGCTTATTTCTGTCTGTATTTCTCTATTCAGCATATTGGTAGCTCACAGGCTCTTAAATATTCTTAAAGGGATTGTAAATTGTACAATCATCAATTTCTATATAATTTATTGATAGGGACACGACACTGATTGCAATCTTTGACTAAAACATAACGTCACAACAATAGAGGCTAGAGTTTTAAATGATGCACTCACTCGTGGTTTGTGAACTCAATAGAGGCAACAGTTTATGTCCTAATTTTATGAAATTTTGCATGTTAGTTTAAATCATTAATGTCTTGGACAAGTTAAAAATTTTGGTATTATTTGAAACAGATTGCTTGCTTTGATATACTTGATTATCAGGAAAGTGGGCATATCTTGCATCCAACCACTTGTTTGATAGAGAGATCAGATATGATTGTCAAATATATTGAATTCAGCATTTCAAGTTGACTTGGCCATTCTTCTCAAACTAGACTAAGCTTGTTTTCATAACTTGATAAAAAGTTTGTTTTATTTCTATGTATTTCAGTATCATAGTGCTTGTGATAGAGGTGTAAGATTTCGCTGTTGTCAGATGATAAATAAGTTGTTAAATAATCTATCTCAAGATGCTCAAATAGATGATGAGTTATATGATCGTATTTATAGCTGTATGTTAGAAAGAATGAGAGATAAAATTCATGTAGTAAGAAAACATTCTGTATTAGCTATATCCAGATTACAAGATCCTACTGATGATAACTGTCCTGTTATAAAAGGTTGAAAATTTTATCATTTCTAATTTATGAACATTCTTTTTCAAGGGAACTTTAAGGGAAACAGTTGTTTAATGAATTCCCGAGAAACAAATAAGAGTTCAATTTCAGACTTCAATATCTCTGTTCAGAATTCTCAGAATTATAATTTGACATGTGGTTCCCTTTCCCTTTAAGCAAAACATACATAGAATATTTGTTGATGTCACTTTCAGAGTGTTATTGGCACTGTATGTTAAATCTATCATAAACCTTTTATAGTTAAGACCATAATTATATTTTTAGCTTTTTCCTATTATGTTGGTGTCAAAACACGTCTCAAAACTCTATAAACATCAAATAATTTAATAATAAGCATGATTGGACCAACACCCTACAGCTACCCATCTTAAATCTATTTTTTTATAGCTTATTTGTATTTGATGTCTTGTGATCCCAATCCTGATGTGAGAAGAGCTGTTTTAGGAGTTATTGCCCCTTCTACTAGAACTCTTGCACATATACTGGAGAGAACACGAGATGTGAATGAAAGTGTAAGACAAGTAGCTTATTGTGTTCTAGCTGAGAAAATCCATATTAAATCTTTGACTATAGCTCAGAGACTACAGTTATTACATGAAGGCCTAAATGACCGTGCTGGTAAGTTTCATTTTCATGCCTTCTTTCTTGTAAGACATGTGAAATACCTAAAGGATTGACAACTCATTTAAGGAGAACAAAATGATATCTAAGGTTTAATGACCAATAGTACGAATTCAACTGGTTATAAATGATTGAAATGTACTTGCATGTTTACTAATTCTGGATGTGTTTTCAATTCATCTTTTTTGCTGTTATGGATTGGTCGGTTTATCCAAAAACCTTTTGTGTGAACACAATAGAGAGTTCAATTTTCATCTGGTTATGATGCTTTGAATTATCAATGTTCTTTTTGCTGCATATGGTGTATGTAATCTTTATCTATTACAGCTAGTGTACGTGATATCTGCTCTAAGAAAGTATTACAAGCATGGTTACGATCATTCAGTGGTAATATATTGGATTTGTTGAAGAGTTTAGATGTGAATTCTACTGAGATCTGTGAGCAAGTGCTCAATACAATGTTTCAACAGTCACAAGTTGCTGATCTAGTTTCCAACTTTAACTTATTGGATGACAGGTAGCTTACATTATTATATCTTTTAAAAGTATTCTTTTCAACATAAAGATGTCCTTAGTTTGTGATCAATTTAGTATTTGCCAGTTGTTATTTTACATTGCTAGAGGTTTAAAGCTGAAGTTCAGATTTGTCAAACTGTTTGTTGAAAGAAGGCTGGTCAATACCAAGTTATTTCACAGATACTTTGATAGAGAGTGTCTTTTGGAACTTTCTGTTAGCAATTTATGATTCACAATAAAGATGTTGATTATTTCAGTTATATGGTTGTAATAGAAGAGTTAGATTGTGAAAGTTCTATGTATTGGAGAATGTTATTGAAATATATACAGTCTAAGGGTAATGAATATGAAGAAATATTAGAAACTATTATACCCAATTGTTTATTATATGCTAATTATCTACGCAAGTAAGTGCTAGTATTTTTTAAATACTTCAAACTTCAATTCAATGTCTTACTATGTTTTTTGCATGATAATTATTTAAAAAAAAATTTTTTACTTGATAACGTTACCTGTATGTGTTCCGAAACATAGTATGTAATAAACTCAGAAGTAGTACATCCATATATCTTCTTAATGTTTACCTTCCTGCTTCTATATATCTTACAAAGATTGAAGAGTCTTATTTTGCAAAACAGCAACACAAGCAGATTAGAAAATATAAGTGAAAAAGTAAATATAATAGTGTGGTGTCATGGGTTTGGAACAGTGAGCTAAAATGTAATTGATACTAACTGTGATTCACCCAAAATAGATTAAAATAAAGAACAATATAACATGATATGCTTAACATCATGTTTCAGGTACTGTTTTAATATTTCTTTATTTCTAACATTATATGTGTATATGATATAGGTATTTAGAAGATAATATGGATTGTGATGATATAGAGAAACAGTTAGAAATAGAGTTTGTTTTACAACAATTATTAATCTTAATAGATAGTATGGATTTAGCTGATCAAGCAGGCAGGTATGTTCAAATTTTTTATATCAGAATTTACATTAATATGTCAAAAATGAAACCATTGCAAATCAAACCCATACTTTACTGTTTTCTTTAATTTTCTGAAAATCTACATATGACAAGAAAATTGATAATATTCTGTATGAATTGAATAACTAAATGTAAAATTACTGAATTCTAGAGACAGTATATGCATTTCATAAGAATATGATAGTTTGTTTTTTTGACAAGTAACCTGAAGTTGAGATGATTAATATAATCAATTATAGGAAAGCTCTAGAGAAGATATTACATGATATGTTAGTATGTGAAACTATTGGTTCTGGACTAGTTAAACATATTCTACCACGACTAGAAACTATTACAACTACCTCAGAATCACTCGTTAACTACCTAGCTGAAACTATCTCTGAAATTAAAGAACCTATAACTATTGTAGAGAAGGGTATTAATAAAGATCAACAACGACAAATAGACTTAAAGGTATAACATTGAGTTTATTTCTCTGACTTGCTGTTTGTAAGTTTTAATACGTCCAAGCACACTGACATTTTGCACCATTCCAGTTTTCAATCAGACCTCTGTGGTTGCTGCAATTCCACTAAAACTAATTTCCAATAAAACATATTTCGTGATTAGTGACATTTAATTTTTTTATCAAATTGGCCATTAGATTGAAATCAGATAAATTTCTTATATCTAATTATATAGATTGCTAGTATTAGAGTGAAATTAAATCAATTAAGAGAAGAAATGGACGATTGTGTACAGAAACAGGAGTTTGTTAAGGCAGCTGAATTAAAAGGTGTTATTGGTGAATTAGATGTAGAAAAATTACAACTACTGGACTCAGCTAGACCTGAACAAGAAGAAGTTAGAACTGAAAAGGTATGTGTGTGATTTGATTATAAAATTATTCACCTTTACGATAAACTAGAGAATTACAGGCAGATCAATTGGCATAACACCTTACTTTCAGAATTATTAGAAATATCTGATAAAATATTTTAAAATTAATACCATATTCAGTCTATTATGTTTGATAGAGAAAAGATGACAAATGACTACTTAATATTGCATCTGGTTATGAATAAAACTTTGAAATCATTGTACATACCCAGGGTGGAATTACCAAAAAAATCCTTTATTTCAGAATGATCCAGCTACATTGCTCAAATGTTTAACTATAATTAGTGAAATGTTAAAAATATTACCATTAAAAACATTATCATCTACTGTACAAATGATGTTAGAGGCCCAGGTAATATATAGTTAATAAGCTTTTAACAGATGGTATGGTACAAACTTTAGCATGAATATATTATGGTTGTTTTTTTGCCAGTTTGTAGCATTTTTTTTTAACTTGATAACTCTGGCTTTTACCCAGTTTCTCAGATTCAATCACTGTTTTGAGCCAGACATTTAATTTCTGTATTTATAAGTGTGACATTTACCTGATATTATTGACAACAACAGCGAGAGTGAAATTTATAAGCAAATAGTCCAATATTGAGAACAATAATTTGATTACAGATAATACCTGGTATTCAGAGTGAGTATGAAAGTGTTAGAAATGAGGCTGTTGCAGCATTAGGGTTATGTTGTCATTTAAAACAAGATTTAGTTTTGATCTATTTACCATTATTTATGCAGGTTTGTATATCTTTGTTCATAATTGCCTGGCGGAATTGTATCAACAAATCAGATTTGTTCAAATTAATTAGAGTGATGCAAAAAATTGATTTTCAGTTAATTTCTTGTTTCTCAGTTCAGAAAGGTAGTTCCCTCAGACATATTGGAAAATTGTAGTTATGTGGTGCATGGAAATTTGTCTGTTTTCACAAGCCCTAATAACATTAAGGGTACATATTTAAGATACTTGGAAAAGCCAGTCTGGTTTCATTGTATTTACTATGTAAATTATGTAATGATTTATGTCATTCAATGAAGTTCATAAACCTATCATCTGCTACCTATGAAAATATGCTGCAGTTATAGATTTTACTGAAAGGCTCCATTTCCTGAAGTGTATTTAAATTTGATTTGCTTTCTCATTTGTTATTCTTTGACTTAATAGGTATCTCAAGTTGATACAGTAGAAGTACGTACTAGTGCCTTGACCTGCTTATTTGATTTAGTACACATGTATGGTATTGATATATTAAAAGATACCGAAACTACTATAACAACTACTAAAGATACTACAGTTTCTATTGATACTACTATTGAGGCCTTCGATACTACTCAACAAAATGAAAGTACTAATGATTTGACTGTAGAACCTGAACCTCAACAACAATCTGAAGCTATTAATGTTGCTGCCAAACTGGTAGCTATATTGAGTGCTTTTCTTGATAGTGAGGTAGGTATGGTGATGTCATAAAACTCTTAGTTTTAGTTTTAGACGTCTGATTGAAAATTGGAGTGGTGCAAATTGATGCTATCGATGTCCCCGATACACATAAAAAATTCGGAAATCCCTTTAATGTAAATGTATTAAATTGTAAAAGATTGCAAACAATATTGTTTTTTTTTGTATAGAGTGTTAAAATTTTTGTGTTTAATTATAGAGTGTTAAAATATTTGTGTTTAATTATAGAGTGTTGAATTAAGAACTGTAGCAGCTGAAGGTTTAGCTAAATTAATGTTATCAGGTCGATTAGTATCATCTAAAATACTATCTCATCTAATATTATTATGGTGTAATCCTGTAACAGAAGATGATCATCATCTACGACAATGTCTTGGAGCTTTCTTTCCTATCTTCTCTTTTGCTGCTAGGTAGGTCTTTATTTCTGATTTATTTCTACCTTAGAAAAAAATGTAGGAGTTGATAGTGTTGTATCTGATATATTTATATTTAGATTATTATATGATTTATAGAACCTTGTAAAACTATAACAATTCAAATTCTTTTTAACACTTGCATTAATCAATCTTAAGTATGTTAAACTTTGAAGTATATTGTCCTTACCCATGTTCTGTTTCTTTTGACAATAATGATTTGATATTATTTTACAGGGTAAATCAAGAAATAATGGAGGAATCATTTATGCAGACATTAAACACATTGATGAATGCCCCAACATCCAGTCCTTTATCTGATGTAGACATTTGTAAAGTATCTGATATACTAGTACAGTTAATAAACACTAAAAGACTGGTTGTTCATGTGAATACTGATTCTTCAAAATTGGTGAGTCTTTCAGTTTGTTTTATATTGCTATTGTTGGTTGATGATATTGGTATATTGGACACAACATCTTAAAATATACAAAAAAAACAACAAATATTATTGTATTCAAACAATGTTAAAATGTTATGCTGTATAAACAAATTGATGGTATCTAGTTAAAGATATGAATTCCCAGAATAATTATATATTGAATTATGAATGAGGATAAACAGAGATTTTTTTTTTCTTGTAGGACAATCCTGGTCATGATAATATTTGTATTAAAATTTGTAATGAAATACTCACCAATTCAGATTCATTTAATTTGAAATTTTGGATACGTATATTAAACCAATTAGATATAAGTCAAGATAATGAACAGAATATTAAAACAGTTATTGGTTTATGTGAAGAAATGTTAGAGGTAAGCTTATTTTTAAATCTTATCTTATGTTGAACAGACATTTTCCTTATTTCTTGAAAATCTTGTGTCAAATGATGGATATTTATTAATGGAACGAAATTGCGACAACTCTCTGAAGCACTGGAAATCGAATCAGATGTTGCAGAAAGCTAACTTGTCCTCATGCTAATTTGTAACACACTATAGTCACAGACAACAAAAAAGATACACCTATTATTATATAAAAACTTTTTACTATTATTATCATAAATATTGTAACTGAAGATGCAGGTGACCATGTTCACTTGTTTGTTAGTTTTCAGTTAAGTCTGAATATGATCTTCTAAAATATTATATTTAGAGTAAATACCAATCTCAAATATCAGTTGTGTTTTTTATCTTTTAGGTGGTGAAAGATAAAAACTGTATAAAGTCTATAAAGAAATTCCTAGATACAATAAAAGAATTTGCTTGTGTTGCTGATACTATAGTCGAGTCTCAGTCACCAGTATCTAATACTGAGGATACTGTTAATGATGTTACTATCAATAACTTATCACAAACATTAGCAGAAACTACGTTACTACAACCTCCTGAAAACCATCCAGAACCCAAAACTAAAATACGCCGTAAGTTTATTTATAAGCACAATGTTATTGTTGGGTTCCTTTAGTAGGTTATTTTTATACGCCAACATGAAGTGGGGGTGTATATTGTCGTCACCCTGTCCGTCCGTCCACATTTGCTCGTAAACACTCAACAAGGCACAATTCTTGACTGATTTTGACGAAACTTGGTATGGTATGTATCACCCAAGGTTGAACCCTATTGACAATCAGAAAAATATAAAAAATACTCAGTATGAGTTATTGCCCTTGTTCTTAAAATGCTTGTTAACACTCTAGAAGGCGCAATTCATGTTTGATCTGATGAAACTCGGTGTGAGTGTTATCACCCAAGGATGAATCCTATTTAGAATAAAAAAATTAAAAAATAATTAGTATGAGTTATTGCCCTTGTACTTGAAGATAGCTTGCCAGGCAAGGTAATATACACCCACTGGCAGCTTTGATATTGAAAAAAAATTTTGGCAGTACAGTAACAATTACCAGTATGAAATATTCAACCTTCAGTCATACACTTATGACTTTGAACTTTTTGAGGCGATACTGAATAATATTACCAAGTTTCATCAAAATTTGTCAAAAATTGAGCCTTATAGAGTGTTTATGAGCTAAAAATTGAACTCCTGTAAACACTTTAGAAAGCCCAAATCCATTTATTGACATTTTGAAGTAATTGATAAATAATGCGAGCTCCTCCAAAATTATGTGTAAAATAAAGGTATTTGTTCTTCCCCTTGAATATCTAATTAGAGTTATTTCCCTTGTTATTTTCATAAAACTGAAAGTGGTTAACATGTTTTTCTAGATTTAATAATTCTTATCAAATTAAAATTCATCGCTAAAATCCATGGTTCTTTTTGTTTTAAAATTGATGTTGATTTTGACACAATTAAACATTTGTATTTAAAGATACATTTGTTTGCTGTAGGAAGCACAATTAAACACATTTTATGTTGACAATCAAAACATTAATCTTGATAATTATTCCATCTCTTGCGTTAGACCAAAACAAGACAGTCCACAAGAATATACCCTATGTGCATAGTTTTCAGAAGTGGTAGATATCTTTGGATATTCCGTTACAAACATCAATTAATCAAACAAACAATAAGCATGATTTTTCCAAGAATGATAAGAAAACCCAACTTTAAAGAGGCATTTTCACAATCCATTTAATCATACCTTAGTTCGGAAACTTTACTTGTTTAGCTATTAGGTTAATCAGTACTACTAGTTAAACTACTTTGGGCACAAGTTTGTTGATAATGGATTTAATAAAATAAATACATGTTCAAAGTATAAGGTAAGGAAGTGTTGAATTATCACAAGTTCTAGTACCGGTACTTCTGTTAACTATTTACCATTTGACTGAAATAATGTCTGATTGTTGCCTATGAATGGTACATTAAATTTGGAAATAAATAATAAATACTTTCGCTCTCTTCGATTTATTCCAGTTGAAAATTTAGGATGTTCATGCATACTTTGATCTTTGATGTCCAACATATACTTGTGCTTTAACAGGCGTCCGAAAATAGCAATTTTCAACACTTTTAAGGTTCATATCTCTTTCATTTGACCTTTACCGACTTCTTTTCGGTTAAAAATCCCATTGTGACTATAAAATGCAACGTTTTATTGGGTACTGTTTATGGTTCTAGTTTTTTTTGGTTATGTATGTATTCAACATGTATGTGTCATATTATTTGATATAATAATTAGGTATTGCTGTGAATTGATCAATATTTGACCACTAAACTTCAATGTAATTACATATATTTGATTATTTGTATGTCATATTACTGATATTTCTAGGTAAATCATCTAAAACACCAGCAGCTAGTTCATTAACTACCATCCCATCAGTCAAAGCTAAAACTACCAATAAACGTACTACACGTAAATCACAATTAGATAAGTAAGTCAAGAATTTATATTATTTTACATTTTCGATATTTATGATACTAATGTTATGATGGATGTCAGAGTAATATGTTAAGTTATAACAATATTTCTTTTTTTGAACAGAATTTTCTCATTAATATTGTATTGGTGTCTATCCAGCAATAAATATATAGATAAGATGTTGTCAGACTATAGGAGCAGTCCATTTAACTTTATGGTGAATTTTATTACTGTTTTCCATACCACCTCGATGTAAATTTTGTCCCCAGATGTACAGAAATTTATTTGCTCGACTATTATCATTTTGCTTGTTGGCATTCAAGCATTATTATAGAAATGAATAATTCAAAATATTTGTTTTTTTTTTTTCCATTGAAGGGATCAAGAAAATACTAAAGCTAGAAGTGTGTCCACCTCAAAAATTTCTCGAAACCTAGAAACTCTGCTGCAAGAAGAAGATAGTCCAAAGAGGTATTTTAATCATACATAGTATTTATTCTAAATCAATATCTCTTGATTCTTTATCACCTAATTATTGATATCCTAGTCCTTGAATTTTAAAATTGTTGTGTCAATCATAACATAAAACAATTTCCCAATACAAAAGTTTAGTGAAATTATTTAGAAGTTTATTAGAAAAATCATTCAATTTTTTTTAAACCTTTCTAATATTTCTTTAGACTGTTGACATATACAGTATTAGAAGTCTAAAATCAAACCGTGAAATTGGCGAAAATGATAATTGTACCACTTTAAAGATGAAATTTTAGAAAAAATGCGTTTTTTCTTTACAGAACAACCAGATCTGCATTAAATGAAGTTTCCAATTCCTGATGTCAATTAGTTCATGTTCGTCTCATTTTATAAATATAATGTAGCTTAAATTGTATGATTATATTATAATGCAAAATAATTGTTATTTTTTAGAAGGGAGGTAATCTCATGAGTTATCTCCACTTTGCCCATTTGTAAATTCTCTCAGATCTACCCTTGCTTTTATGCATTTCACTCGCCAAGTTGCTAGATATTGGGGTAGAATTTCTTCTTGTCTAGTTGTCACATAGTACACCTATGACAACTAGTATCAAAACAAACAATGCTTGCATTTAGACAGGACTAGTAGCTTGATCTTGTTGCAATCAGAATCAACTATTAAACATATATCCAGTTATGGATAAAATAAAAAACAGTATTTAAATTGAGAATGTACAATTTATTGTATATGTACACAAGTTCCACTGATGATAAGGTACAGATGAACAATGTGATACAAGAATTATATAAGGATAGGGCAAGGTTTCTCATTGTAATATGACGAGGGTGAGGCAGGGAGTGCTGTGCAAAATTGTTTCAACCAAGTAAATTTGTACACATCTATATACATGTTTCACAATATAAACATGCTACAAAAAAAAAATTATTTTTAGAACATTTATCATATTAAAACTTGGCGATTTTTTTTTTTAAACTATTTAATATTAACATGAACCTACAAAATACATGTTTTACTGACAAGATTAATTGTTTATCTTTTTTTAACCATGATTTTCTTTTTTTAAAAATTAACTTTTTTTTTTATCCCTTTTACCATTTGTTAATTTTCATTAATTTTTTAGTATACCTGTACTTAAAACCCCTCATTAACAATTACCGGTACATAACCAGCAAATGCAACAATCTGCACAAATTACATAAACCTGTATTATCTGAAATATTGTATGAAGTCAAAACCATTTTGTTATGGTATGATAACAAATTGTATTTAATTTTTTAATTTAAGATAGTCCAAAAAACTCTCATATTGTATCACCTTATTTTGAAACTATCCATTACAGTTCAGTACACCATAAAGTTTATCTTATACAATGTACATGTACATATATTTTAGGAGTCATTTTATATTTCAGTTATATTTAAGATATATCTTTCATAAAAAGCTAATTATGGCACAAAACGAAAATATACTCTTCTATAGAATTTAAATCGTCAATAAAAGTTCAAGGAAAGTACTGATCTCAAATCAAGAAAATTTATTTTTTATATTCGTGTCTCTGAAATGTTTATCATTCAACATGAAAATGTAATAATTTTACAAGACAGGAGCTAAATGCATTAATAAATCCCAACGATGTTACATATTCATGCAAAAACAAAATTACAGCATACAAAAGCTCCCCATATTATCCCTGAAGGCTATTGTTAAATAAGCATTGAACAGCTAATCTGGAATCGGAGTAATACCTTGACATTTACCACAGAATCAATTTCATTTGACAGAAAATGTTGTAAACAAAATTAATCATAACAAACATGAGATGGAATATTGACATTTACAATGAAACCTATCATAGAAAGTTTGATTGAGAGAAACCTTGTAATGATCAGTTATTTTCTCTTGAAGTATAGTTAGGCTGGCAGGTTGCTCCTACAAGAAATAAATGCCATTTTTCAATATATTCTTTCTCTATTTTTGCCTTAAGGATTTTGATGTCACAAAATCACTAATCAATGCAAATTAATCTGAATGAAACCTCAATTTTTTCAAATAAATCATATGGAGCCAAACCAGTAGAAAATAGTGTTGTGATCAAGAGATTAGCTACATAATAACATGTTCTTAATCTGCTTGAAATAGAAACTCTAATCTATGATCATGAAATTAATTATGTGAGCTTACTGGTAGAATTTCCATTACCATGCATAGCCTAATTTTTTTTCTTATGTCATTCAAAATTATTTTTCTATTAATTTCAGTGTTTTTACTCAGAATGAATAACGCCATATATATAATAGTATTAAGGACTTTGTTTTGATGAAGTTTGTGCTATAAAAGTCAATGTAACTTTGTCTGCAACCTGGAAAAATTAATTAGAAAGAACGAGTGAAAATTCGAAGTAATAAAATCTAGAACAGATTACATATAACATGATAGTTATTTCCATTTCTAATTATCATAGCACATATTAAAACTGGTCAATTTGCACTATGCTTTTAGAAGTGAAATTGAACAATGAATTTTGAGATATCTCTAGAATTTGAAAGCACTTAAGAAAACAAACAAATGTATAATGTCAACGAAACAGAATTAACAACTAATAAGCAAGTTTCAAACATCTACATAACAGTCTAAAGATGACCACATTATTTAGTCAAGGTATATTAGTTGTGGTTTACCATTAAGTTTTCACAAATAAAATATTAATAAAGTTTGGATTATCTAAGGTATATAATATATGTAAGTTTGTGAAATAAACCAGTTCTATAGCCACTGAAGTATATCTGTATGTTACTAAAGGTTTTATAACCTTAATGTAAACACAAGGTCAGTCAAAAATTATTAAGCCTAAGGTTATTATTCATCAAGTCAATTTAATCATACAGCTAACTTTAATAATGTGTCAAGATAGACAGTATTTTATTATTGTCAATAGGTCGGACTACTACACGTAAAGTAGATATTTATGGAAAAAATCAATTTTGAACATCAATTTACATAAATATTAAATTAAAGTTTTGCCAAATAATTTTTAACCTGGAAATTTTCAAAAAGAAGTGGCCCTCACACGAAAGTGATCACCAGTTGCATATGATTGCGAATAATGATAGAGAGTTGCATTCAGAACTCATGGTCACTTTCATTATTCGCAACCATACCCATCTGGTAATTGCTATGTGATAATAGCTATGGTGCGAGGGCACCTTGACTACATGTTTATTATTAACCACAAAAATATAATAAGCCACCTTCAGATTATAATGTAGATATTTAACAGTACTATAACAGTTCTAAATAATAATTTAGCCACTCTAATAAAGTGAGGAATTAAGAAATACTCTATAAATATACACAGAGAAATATATAGACAGCACTTCATACACACACTATCACTTACATTCACTACTTTCATCCACTTTTGTTTTCTTATTAGAAAAGGAATAATCTTCAAAAGAAAAATATTGTCTACTCTTGCGTTTTCTTGAGCTTGACCTGACACCCGATTTATCAAGCCCATAATCCATGGTTTGTATGTTATTATTTTTAGACGCAGTTTTCACTTCCGTCCCACTTGATTTTACTGTACCAGATTTTTTACAAGGTTGTATTGTTGTATCTTGTAGTTTAACTGATGTTGGGTCAGAATCCAAGCTTACCATTACTGTTTCATTACCTTTCTCAGTATTTAACATTTTATCATTGGCACTAAATTCACTTTTCTTATCCACATCGCATTTATTAATATGGCAATGATTCAATTGAAGTGTTTCTGACTTATTTTCCAACACTTCAACATCTGTTAGTTCACTGTTATCAAGATTAGTTTGTTCACTGTTATCAAGTATAGTTTGTGGCAACTTTTCATTCACATGAACAATATCTGTTTCACATTCCAAACTTATATTCAAATTAGGTACAGGAATATTTGCTCTGACCACAGGGTGAGGTTGTTGAGGATAATTTTCACGAACTATCACAGATTTGAAATTTGATAATTTTTCTGAATTAAGAGGCGAGATCACTGCCTTAACAACTGGTTTTAAAAACCTACAGCCTTCAAACTTTTCATAGCGTTTCTGTAACTCTTCCCATAACTGTTTGATATTTCGTGACATTTCACTGGATTTGAGAGATAATGTTTGGGTATCTAACACTGTTGTTAATGTTTTACTTTCTTCAGGATAATGTTGATGTTGTAGAAAACTTGAAATGGACAACAGTTTGTCACAATCTGCGCATTTAACACAAAGTGAACTTTTCTTTTTATATAAATCCAAAAATATTTTTCCACTTTGTGATATAGGAATCCTTCCATCATGAAATTCCAATGGTATATGTACAACATCTAAACTTTTACATCCAGTTTTATCATTTATAGCACTTTTTTTGACAGATTTAGAAAAATTTAATAATCCTTGCACATTTACACGTAGAGGGCCTAGCTTGCCTTTATTGTTTGGTGATTTATCATTTGTTGATCTAGGAGACTTTTTAGGCGACTGTTTCATATTATTACCATTACTTTTTACTCCTTTCTTCTTAGATATTATCACTTCCTCTACAGTGTCACTCTCTTCTGCTTCATCTGATTCAGATTCACCATCACCTTCAGAAAAATCGTCAATTTCTTCTTCTGTTTCTGTCTCTGATAAATCTTCTGATTCTTCTTCTTCTTCCGAGCTAACATCACCTGGAGTCACTATAATTTCTATTTCTTTCTTTTTATTGCTTGGAGGTGTACGATTATTGGTCTTTTTACTACTTTCTTTCTTTTTCTGAACAGGTTGTGGTGCTACTTTCTTTTCATTTGTTTCTTCAACCTCAACTTTATCCTGAGAATCACCTTTCAACATTTCCAGAAAGTTAATTTTTTTATGTCGTAAGCGTTTGGTGAGTTCAGGTTGTATAACTGGTTGAGGAGGAGGTTGTTTTCGAGGTTTAGGTGATGTTGGTACTACACAATTTTTGATACCATCTTTCCTACAAACAGAGTTTACAACTTGTTTAAGACAATATTTCAGACAATGTTGAATTGAATTTGACCCCCGATGTGTACAGATATCTCTGCTCAATTAGATCTCAGTAAATGCTTGTACCACGATGCATACCATCAACAAAAGAAAAAAAATATGGATGGCCAGCGTTATACGCCCACAATTTTAATGGTAGCCAAGTTGTTCGAGAGGTTAACCCTCTCTATTGTGTCCACAACTACTGTGGATAGATGAATAGACAGACAGGAGCAAGGATTATATATAAACTCTGTCCAAGTTTATCACCTTCATGGATGAATATTCACTTGCTTACATTGCCAAACCATCATATATTAGAGTGTGTCTAAATACTGTGAATGTAGCTGTTTAAACCTTTTCTAGGTATAAAAATACAACTTTCTACAAATTTGCAATTAAGTAACTAAAATACATAAATAAAGCCTATCAGAATGAATCCACTCAAAGTCTAGACTTTTAAATTGCCGTAGAAAATAATCAAGGAAAATCACGAAAACAAACCTTTCTGGAGATGTATTTCTACTGGCAGTTTTAGAGTTGGGTCGTTTTCTCTTATTAAATCTGGATTGTTTACCACGTATCATAGCCATATGTTGTGACAAACGAGACAGATTATTGAGAACACCATCTTCAGATCTAGGTAATCTTGGTTGAGGTTGAGCATAATATCCTACAAGTTGGCAAGCATCAGCTTTACCCACAATTAAAGTACTTTTTGAATTATACCCACGACCATACTGCACTAGAAAATAACGCTGCATTTCTGTACAGTTAACAACATGTATGCTCAATAACTGACATCGTTTCTTTAATATACCAGTATCTTTAGCTGGTAAAATCTGTTTGTGAATATCAACAAGTCTTATATAGGGTCTATTATTGATCATTATTGCTGGTAAATCATTCCAAAATACGGTCACTGTAACAACCCATGGTGTATCATTATAATCAGATTCTGTTGGTTCTGGCATGCTGGATTCAACATGGGCTTCTGGAAAAAGTTCATCTGGTTTATCTAGTCGAAAGTCACTTCCCAAAAGCTCAAATGATTTTTCTAGAGGTAAACTGAGGTCAGATAATGAGGGAGCAAGGGAATTGGGGAACGCATTTAACTCTGTATCCAATAAACTTTTATCAGGCTTGGTATCAACCATATCTATATGTCCCAATTCATTATCAATTATCATAGGCTTTACTATCTCATCAACAGTCATAATTCTATTGTCAGTCACATTAGTTATTGATCTATTTAACGATTTGTCAACTAAATTACTGTCAACATTTACAACAATGTCAACTAAATCACTCTTTATTAATTCACTCACATCCTTTTCTACTTTGATCTCAGCTTCAGTCTTAACATTTCCATCTAAATTTGGGATCACAATGTCATCCTTCACTTCAATTTTAATATCCAATTCAGTTTTAATATTTACAGTCTGATCATTGTAAACTTTTTGTATAGCAACATCATTATCATCTTTTAATACGTCACCTTGATCTTCCTGAATCACTATATCACTCCTCAGTTCAAAAGACTCTTGTGAATCTTCTTTAATATCTGATACACACGATGATGGTCCAACATCTGAAGAGGAATATGTAGATTCGGTATCTGTATCCTGTTTATCGAGTTTTGGAGTATTATTATTTATTGTCCATTCAGGATTAGCTACATCAGATGTATTAGGATCCAATATTTCTGTAGAACAAGTTGAACTATGATCACAATCTGTTGATCCTAGTTCTACCTTCTCATTACCAGTAAAGCTGTCAGGAGTGGAAACATGTTTAACAGCATTTAATAATAAATCAACCTGAAAATATACATCAAACATATACTATTAATAAATATTCTAAAATTGACTAAAGGCTTGTACACACAGATGAATGTTATAGGATTAATTGCATGCAACTAATATTATTGTGTGTACCAAGCTAAATTGATAATGGTGAACAAATCTTATCACATTAAGTCTACCTGCTGCTACAGTGGATTTAATTCAGTCTTCTCTGATCTACGACATATGGTTCCATTTTATAAATTTTATTTATACATTGACCCCATGGCAAAGACTTCAGCAGATTTACAATGATGGAACCAAACTAATCATGTTTACCTGATCTTTAGTTAAGGTCATGTTCTCCCCCATCAGATTAATAGTTTCACCATCACCAAAAAAGTCTATTTCTTGTTGAACATTATCCACTGGTACAGGTGATGCTAAATTATCATTCTCCATACTTAATATTGTATTAATAATTTTATCATCATCATCTACACCATTATTTCTTTCATTTTTAATACGGTCACCTGATATCACTGTGGGTGTTCCAGCTTTATTATTTGGTGTTTGTAATGTAGCACTAAACCGATCTAATAAATTTGGATTGGAACTAAACTTTTCTAATCTGGCTAATCCAGCACGTCCTTTAGTTTGTAAAACTTCCAGATCATCATCTGTTAAATGAGGAATAATGATATCAATAGGTTTAGCTGGTTGAATTGATTTTTTAGTTTCTAGAGGTAATGATGTGTCTACTGAGGAACGTCGACGATTTCTTGAGGTTTTATTCAAAAAGTACACAAAATCGTTTTGAAATTTTCCTGTAATTTTTAATTTGGAGCCAGCATCAATTTCTACCTCTCCATCCTCTACTATTTCCTCTTTTATTTCCAAAGATTTGACACGTTTCTGTCGATTTAATGAGTTTAATTTATCTAATAATAAAGAATTAACTGGCTGTTCTGGCTTTTTAAAGTTACAGTCTATTGGTACAGGGGTGGTAGCCAGAGAGTTTTTTACCTTCTCTATTGTTTCTGACAAAGGTCCCTTTATATTGTTCTTGATCTTTAAATTCTTGGATCGTTTAGATTCTTTCAATGAAGCTGGTGTACCACGACTTCTAGCTGCTGTCATGTACTTCCTTTTTTCACTTTTAATATTTTTCTTACTAGTCACTGGGCTTGGTGGTAAAGTACCACTACGAAAACAATAATCATGATCATGATGAACTACACTAGACTGAACAGCAGGTGGTGAAATAGCTGTTGTAGGAGATTTGATACCTTGTAAGACCATCATTAATTCCTTTGGAGGTTCAGGGGTTAAGAATGATTCTAGATCATCTAAAGCTTCAGATCCAGCATCTGATCTATCCCAATCACCACAGGGTGACTGTAATAACGATGGTATACCAGGTGATGATGGTAAAGCAGTTGACGCAGAGGAAACACCATACTCAGGACTAAAAGCATCTCGCCCATAGATTTTCTCCTGATCAGTATCAATATTGGTAAAAGAGGCAAATTTTCCAATTCTGAACTTGCCAACTTTAAGATTGTGTTCTGGAGCTGGGTCACTAGTGGTGCTGGACAAGCTACTGTCAACCTCGAAATCCACAGGTTTTCTAGTAGCATCACACACTGTATCCAGATTACCAGTAGTACTATTGTTATGATAATCACTACATTGTGAATCAGATGATGATAGTGTTGGTGATAACACTGTTAATCCTCCCAGTGGGAATCCTGAATTACCAATAGGTGATCTTTCTAAATCAGAAGATCCCTGAGATAACAATTGACCACTTCGTCCAGATACTTCAGGAAAGCTACACTGTAAACAATTACTTTCCAAAGATATACTTCTAGTCCTATGTTCAGCTTCTTCTGAGGAACTATTACCATCAATACCAGAATCAGATTCTGGTTCATCACTAAGAAAAGAACATCTCAAATTGGAAGTTTTTCCTGGCACTGTAGCGTAACAATGATCAGAGACTACTAAGAAATGCAGGGATTCATTATCACCTAGTGATGAAGATTGGTCACTAGCTGATTGTGATGATTCTAGAGCACTATCATGTAAGCTAGTTATATTGTCTTTATCACAATCAATGATTGAATGATTCCCAACATTTTTACTCGAGTTTAAACAAGAATAGTCCTTGTCCATCTTTAAATCTGTATCTATCTTATCATTTACATATAATCCAATAGCACTATCATTCCCTAAAACGGAAACTTGCTCGTGTTTTTCATCACAGTTGTCAGAATCTGGATTATTCGTTGAGTCATCTACATCATCACAAACAGTTTGACCAGTTAACAGTGATCTCATAATAGTTTTAATTTTACCAGGACTATCTTCAACATCAAAAGATGATAATTCTACCAGAGTTGAGGTAGACACTTCTATATGTTCTTCAATATCCTCTTCTACACATGAATCAGTATCTGAATTGTCTACCTTCTCACTTAAAGATTTCACATCAGTGCATTCAACCAGATCACTTTTCACTATATCTACTGTAACATCTTCATTGATTGTCTTTTCATTAACTTTTTCATTAATCAATTCATCCATATCAGAACTAATCACTTGTTTAGGAAAGTCTCCTACAGATGTTACTTGAGGATGTTTGCCTTTTTTCATAGAACCCATTTTTGATTCTGTATCATTCAAGTCTATACACGCTTCAGTACTTGAATTTGGATCCTCATCATTATCTGCCCCTTGTTCTGTGCTCTCACTACTACCACTTCCACTACCTTGAGCAGTACACTCTGTACCACCAGTTGTATCAGAATCTCTGGTTTGAAGAACTGCAGCTGAGGCTAGTAGATCAAGGGCATTGAAGTCCATTGTCAAACCATTTAACACAATCTATAGTAGGCATTTATATTTCTTATCTCTTCATTTCTGAAATATACAGACAGTTACAATGTTAGTATCTTTTAATTACATTTTCATATTTCATAGAAAACTTAAGTTTAATACTGGTATCATGACATTGTGTTTCGTTAACTACATACCAGAACAAAATCAATAATTAATGTATTTATATATACTGTAACCACACCTTTTATATTAAAGAGACCTTACTGAATTTCCAATAGTCAACTTATGTGTAATCAAATGATTCAAATGATTTTTCAAATTAAAAAAACTCCACTCCCATCTTCTGTCATTATACAATCATATTAATATTATGCAATACAATCATTCTATTTTGTTTCAGTAGATTCATCATGAAACTGAATACATGTACAACTGAAAATCAGCATGAAATTCCATTAACATCAGTCACAATAAAAATTTGTAAGCTTATGCAAAAGGTTCCCCTTCATAAACCACATGTAATATTGTATTTCATTCAATGAATGATAATGTATAGTAGGATTATCAGAATAAGGAAATATATAAAATGTTTTGATGACATGAACCAATATCTAATATAGTCAGCTACTTTCCCTTAGGTATTTGTGATAATACCCAGCTAGTAACATATTGATCTGATGCCAGTAGTGGTTGAAATAATTAGTTACATGTTAATGTCACTTGCCTACCAATACAAAGTCATACAGACTGACTGACTCACTGACAATCAATGACAAATATCAATACTTATTATTACTTATTTATTCTTAGTATTGCAGTGCTGCTGCTGCCAAGATCTAGCAAAAAAGATTTGTGTCAAAGAAGGTTCAAATGAATTTCTCATAGCAAAGGCCAACAAATTGTTGCAAAGAGAAGAAAGCTTGAGTATTTTATCACTGTTAACCCGTGATTCGAGATCTTTAATGTGTACAGTAAGTAACATTGCTACTTGTCTCATTCAAACAACTGGATGCAAAAAGAAAACAGAAATAAAAACAAAAATATGTGGCATTAATACTTTTACAGATAACTTCAACAATCACCCTGATAACACAACACCCAATACCACTACCACTGAGTTCCTCAACTATGATGTAGATTAGTGAACATTTACTTAAATAGCTTTAGTCACAATTATATTTACTAAATTTCTCTTAATTATCTTGTTATACTAACACACTTTACAGGCAATAGATATATTAAATATATCTTGGCAAGGGTCCAGTCCTAGTTTGTTTATTATTTATAATGAGTGAAAAATAGGACATAAAATCAATTCAATTTGTTGAACTGCCTATATTGTAAATATATATATGAAAAGAGATTGCCAAGTCACACTAAGAAGACCAGTCCAGAGTTGTGCATTCCAGTTGTTCCAAAACTTGCAAGTACACTTTAGTATTATTGTACAGATGGAAATTTATGCAGTGTATCAATGATTAAAATCCATCTTCACTTCAGATGCCATTTCATTATTTCATTGTTTAAAAAATATAATATTGAGTGTTAGGAAGTATACGAGCTGTATAAAAATTGGACAAGATTTGCTATGGTTACAGGCAGGTTTATCATAAGTACTTACAAATTATCACATAAAATCAATAGCAGCCATCTTATTGTAAGTAATCCAATTCCTCTATCTTATAGCAAACTGTCAGTGGGAATTTTACACTGATAAGTTTTCAATTAATTGGGTGGTTTTTCTTTGTATTCTCTACATATGGTGTTGTCAACAAGACACAACCAAAAGGCAGACTTACTATTCACAATAACAGAAAGGATAAAAACTAGGCTACCTATTTAAGACCAACAATGTGACAAATGTATCATATCTGTAATTATAAATTAAGCATGGGGAAAATTATATCCATGACAACCATGACACCTATATTTCTTATGTGTATATTTATGCCAACTAAATTCAACCTTTATCCTTACCAGAGCACAGTTTTATTCCGTACGAAAATTTTAAGTTAAAAAAAAAAAGCTTTAATCAAGGTTAATGCATGCTATCTAATTATTTCTTGTAGAAATTAACTTTATAATATTCTATCAACATGCATCATGAAATATCATTCAATGAAAGTATCATTGAAAAAGTTTTTGATGGAAAAATTGCTGAAATATCTGTGAAATATGAATGTTTACATTTATTTGATTCACCAAGAAAAGCACAAAATCAAGATGTTTACATGTAATTATCACATTGGTTAAGTTAAGAGTAAGTACTCAAATAGAAGAGACAAAAAGTAAAAATTGTTTCCCGTACTTTTCATGATTTAAAACTGAATCGATTTTAGTTACCTTGATTTACTTAAGACTGTTTTTTATCTTATGGTTAACAAACTCTTATTTCTTTTTTTTTAGAAAAACAGAACTTATTCTTTCTATTTCTGCCTATCAATGTAGTGCCAGGCAAGGTAATGTATGCCAACTAGCATAACAATCACCTGTATGAAAAATCTTTTGTCATATATACTATCACAAGCATTTTAATTTTTCATTTCATTCATTATTAATTAAATTGTCTTTTGGTTGTATATAAGCTAATGCATAGCAATTTACAGATTCAAGATTATTTTGGAAAATATGTGCATCATCAAATGAATTCAATTAAAAAAGAAGACATCGAATCAAATATTTCGAAAATTGTTCAAAAGTAAAATATTTCAATGTCATGTCATGTACTCAGGGAACTGATCAAGTCTAGGATGCTAAATATTGGTATGGTACTTTAATTTGTACCCAGTATGTATTTATTTAATCAAAGGTTCTTTAATACAAAACTGGTACATTTATTTTTTTCTAGAATTATATCAATCAATCTGAAGGGACTAAGTATTTCTAAGCCCTTAAAACCAGACAGTATATTTACAATTCAACCCCAATTTATCACCTCATACATGGTTTTATTATAGAACAATGTAACTTACAGTGTATTTCAATCGTTGGATTTGTCACAATTTTCCTGAAGGGATTTGAGTTTGATTTAAAGCATAGAAAAAATGTCATCTATCAAGAAGAATGCAAATCCTTGCAAACATCCACACTAGGACATACACTATCAATGCAACATTACATATTGATTGATTTTGACAGTCCTATTGAATTGATTTTCTTCAAGTCTAGAATCAAATCACTGACAACATTTATCTTTAACCTCAAGATCTGCTATAAATATAACACTCAATAACTCTAACTACAGTTTGGAATTGATGTTGAAATTGAAAAACTGCTGTATTAAGAAGGATACCATATTGAAGAGGTAATGAGAAAATCCAGAAAACATGTTTCTCTCATAATCATGTACTATATCAAACAGGATATAACACTATCTTTTATCTAGAACATACTAGATCAATTTGCCCTCCCCCCTTCAAACCTGTATGGAGACTTATTCATTTACACAAATACCTTGAATTTTACAGTAACAACAGGTCTATTTCAGTTTGATCAATCAAATAGAAATATACCATTTAGAAGCTTGAACTTGTGTCTATAAATCTGAGAGTAATATAATACAAGGCTAATATTATTCAAACTCTTTAGCTTATTTCCTTGAATTTCTATTGAATTATAAAACTTTCAGTGATAGTGTAGTTATAAACTGCAACTTTAACTTGTATCATATCCTGACTAGAGTAAGGTGATAGTGTAGGACATTAGTCACCATGTCATTACTTCCTATTTACTACAACTTAACCACACCAAACTTCTAACACCACGTTTGTCCTTTAACCTAAGGTGGACACTATAAATACAAGTCTCTGAACTTCTCAAATTAAAATTCAACAGGTTATATTTTCAATTGGCAAACCAACAAGCACATACTGTTTATGATTGAAAAGAATGTCTGATGCAAGCATAATGAGAACAATACTTGTACTACCTGCCATTCCAGTTTCAAATACAGCAAATTTAACATTAAACATAATCTCCAAGAACAAGATATTTATCACAGGAGTCCTGTTCAATAGTTTAAAGAGAATCTGATTCTGTGTCACTTTTAGGAAATTTCATTTAGTGTCTATATCAATCTTAATTTCTAGAATTAGAACAGAAACCACAGATGTCAAAATGAATAGTCTCCCTGAATGATCCCATTTAAGTCAACTATTAAAAAAACTGCCAACTACAACAACACAACATCATTGTCTAGTTAATCCAACTTTCTATACCAGTATATATTATAATATTGATGCATTGACATTTTTATTTTATTGTTTCACATGATGGAACATGCACAACAAATGCTTACTTATACGTATAGTTTTGAGTTTCTCTCATATGAGAAAACATATGTAACAGACTGGGTGTGGTTGCAATGTCAATAATCTTTGGACAGTGTAGTGCTGTTAGAAAGAGTGAGCATTACCTTTTAGAATAGAAAAGCTGAATAATAATGCCTTTTAATTTGTTTCTAGCTATATAACAGTTACATTTTGAAATGTCTGTATACATGAAAGGTTAAATTCAAAACTTTATTGACAAGTAGTCTAAATTTAGTACTATTTAGTCAAACTGTTGTGTAGTGAAAATACAGCAAAGGAAATATACCGGTTTTTATAAATAGCTCACTAGTTTACATTACAATCATACCACTACATAAAATCTTGTCATGTGTGACATCAATGTAAAAAAACATGACCAAAACTACCACAAAGAAATGATCAGAGTTGAAGCTGGGCTGAATTACTGAGAAATATATAATTTCCAAAGATTTCACAAAAGATAAAGAGATATAATTTACCTGATAAGAAAGTAGAAAATAAACAAAGCAACCTCACTTTAACCTCTACTCTTGTCCTCTTTACATTGGTATGTTCTATATGTTAGATCAGTCTATTATACAAAGAGGGGAGATAGGGTATATTGTGGAGACTTTTCTCAATAATCTTCACTCAAATTATAATATGTACTTCAAGATTGGACACCCTTTCCAAAAATATGTCAACCTCAAACAAACTGCTAGAATACAATCTTGT